GCGGCCTCGTCGCCGGCGAGCTGCCGCTGTCGGCATCGCTGCCTCGCAGCGCCCAGAGGTTCCCAGTACGGCCGTCCCGGCGCAAGTGGCTTGGAGCCCTCGAGAACTGCGTCTGGAAGCACTGCTTGATACCGTAACTCGATCACTCTGCGAGTACACCAAAAGAGCTACGAAACCCTGAATTACAGTTGGGCAAAAATGATTGCAAGTCTGATAAATTTGTCTAGCCTCATCTTGCTGCTAGGGGGAAAAAAAACCCTTGAACCTTTTGAATACCTACGTGATTGCAGGCATTATCATCTGACTGACAAGGCTTTGCAGCAGCATTTCATCAGGAACGGCCAACCCTTTGCAGTGCAGATGGCCGGTGAACAGCACAGCGCGCTGTCTGCTCAGCCGCCGAGGCGTGAGGCTGCCTCCTCCGTCGGCCAAGCCTCTCCTCAAAACACCATGCGCTGTAAGGAGTGTGGCGATTTCCCAGCCAGAATCTCAAACGGCTAATGCACACACGCATCCTTCTTTTAGATTAGACAGCCTCTTTTGGGAACAGCTCAGGTTTCCAGTAGCCCCATGTTAGGAACAACTAGTGAATCAAATCATACCTGTGCTGATAGACAGTATTTCTTCAGATAAATTAGCACAGTAACAATCTGCAGTATCTAATTATGGCTAATTTCCTGTTCATCTGTCTAGGTACTTCTGACCCTTTTACTGTAATTCTTGAGCACTCGCAACGTTGATCAGAGATTTTCAATAATTTAAGAGTCAGCTCTTCAGCTGGAGTAAATCAATGCATTTTCTTTGGCTTTGGAGCTGGTAAGAAGAGAGTTGTGTTAACATTTACAGTGGAGAAAGTGGTCTTAATTTACTACAGCGTGCTACAGCCTTGTAGCCCTTTGCACCTCCTTGCTCCCTCCAGTTCACTGGCTGCTAACAGATCCACAGGTACTGGTGGGAAGAGAGTAGCAAGTGCTTGTCAGACTGAGCTCTTGGAGAAAACAGAGATAAACGTATAGAATATTTTTGGATCTTACTCAGTCCTATATACTCGAGACCAGCATACATGAACTTTAACAAAAAAATTTTGAAAAAGCATCTAAATCAGGTTCTCAAGACCAGCTGACTTGTAAGATTAGAAGACAGGGACTCCTGTCTGGTGCCAAACCCATTTAGCAATCGAGGCTGAAAGGTCACACAAAAGGAACTGAGGTTTAGCTGACAAAAGATTCAGCTGAATTTTAATATATTCTTGGCCCAGAAGTTTTTGGGCTTTGTTTCTGATTGCTGCGTAAGACAGAAAGAACTTGCAGAACTAAATGAGAAAGGGATGGGCGGAGATTTAATTGGTAGCATCTATTCAATAAAGCGGCGTAAGTGAACATCCAAAAAACTTCAAATCAGATACTGAAACAAGAAATACAGTGAACAAATGTTTCTTTGCCATGACTGTGGGTTTCAAGAGTATGCCCCAAACGCAAGTCAAGCAAAAGCCATAATATTTTCTTTTCTGGAAAACACTGCATCTTTTCTCAATGCTCGCCTGGCTCTGCAGAGAAGTGATTGACTGGGAGAACAGGAAATTATGGGAAGATGCCAGCTTTTATTTGCTACAGGAGGTTAAAGGTTCCCTAGGGCACAAAGGAGCTTTTCTTGCCCAGACGATCCCATCATGGTATACATCAGCACAACCAAAGCCTGCAAAGCTCAGAACCAGTCAAGAGATATCTGGTGAAACCTGAAAGGATTTTTTTTTCAAACATTCACTAGTTTTTGTCCATGCATCCATACATCAATATTTGGCAACAGAAATCTACTAAACAAATAGCAGGATCTCTGGTTTCTTTTAAAGCAACATGCACAGCAACTCACACAGCTCCGTGTGTAAGTAAAGAACCCCCAGATGCCCTTCCCGCATAAAGCCTGACTTTACTGTGCTACAAAGAGATTAATAATTATCTTATCTATTGTGAGTTGATGCAATTTCTTTTTCTTCCCCACACCCCCACACTGCTGTTTCCTCCTGATCTGCATTTGTAGCTTAGCTACTGTTTTCACTGAAAGGAAGGAATTTGATAATACCTTCCTAAAAAGATGCCTGTACTGTGGCTGCCTGTTACAGCCAGTGACAAAGAATGGAGATGTCAGCTATTGACAAAAGAAAATAAAGAACTTTTTTTCCAAACATCCCAAGAGAAATAACCTCATTGTAAAGCTATTTCTTGTACATTCCAAGTTAAAAGAAAGAAAAACGAAAAATAAAGTAAGGCCAAATATCTGAAACTAGCTTCTGCTTAATCAGTCATTCTCATTGGATTACAGTTTCTGAAGTGCATAATTATAAACAACAGATGGAGGAGCGTTCAGCTGAAAACAAGAGGGGTGGGTGGGAGAAAGTCACCCTGATGACGGGTGTTTTCTATTTGGACGTGAACCAATCTTCCCCCCTTGGTATTGCAGGTTTCAGCGCCCGCTTGGCAGAGCGCGGCGATGGCATCGCCCCAGGTGTGCGCGCAGCCCCTCGGCCG